AGTAGGATATGTCAGAAGAGTATAATGAACGAGATCTAGGCTAGGTGCCGCAAAGTTTTGGCTTTTACAAACTACGATCTTGAAAAAAAAAATTTTCTATGCCCTACTTTTGGCTCAGGCCGCTAAGAACTTTTGTTAATATTAGGGGCCAGAATGGATACAAATTTTTTCCCAACCACTTTTTTCTTTTTTTTTTTTTTTTTTTTTTAGTCCAAACAACAGGGCCCAACCATTTCCAATTGAAAAAAAGGAGGAATAAAAAACACACATCGACTTCGGGAGCGAAAAAGGAAACGTTAACAGAACAGTTACAAGAGCAAGTAGTTGTGGACGTACCATCTTTTGGGACAGGGCTGTACAACTCTGCCAAGTAATTTCTCACAGTCTCAAACCGAATGCTCCCACTTAAGATCACGAATCGTGCACCAAGCACTTTGCCAGCTGAGAAGGCTCCACCATAAGGTCTGGAATTGCAAATTCGCCATCAAAAGACACGACCATTGGAACGTTACCCCTCTCAAAACCCCGCTGAGTGCCTTGCAGTTGCTCAGCTAACATTCGATCAAAGTTAATCTTGGAAGGGAGGGAGGGAGGAAGGGAGGGAGGGAGGGAGGGAGGGAGGGAGAGGGAGAGAGGGAGAGAGGGAAAGAGGGAAAGAGGTAGGGAGGGACCCAGGGAGGAAGGGAAGGAAGAAGGATAGCATACAATTGAACAACATGCATAGCACTAGGAAGACCAAGGGCAAACTAGAAAACCCTTGAGATCAACTCCCATGGGACTCAGTCCACAGTATCACAATGCATAGAGTTACTTAACTGGCCAATGATGGCCGTCCCCATCCCGAAGGACAGACTGGACTCACATGTTCGTGACCCACTGGCCCTCCACCTGGAACACAATCTTCAGTTGGGTGGCTTGGACCACATGACACTATTCCCCAGATTGAAGCCAGAGGGAGAAAATTCACCTTACAGACAAAAACTTCAGCAGATTCGGAAAGAGGAGGGGAGGGGGGGGGGGGGGGGGGTATTTGGCAATCGCACCCCACCAACATATACCCTGGAACCAAGCTATCCAGAAAAGAAGCCGTCCACACTGACCTTCATGATTTTACACCGTGACGGATTATCTGTTGTGCAAGTCTAAATCGATCGCTGAACCACCACTTCTCCTGGACTCTTGGTGTTTGCACACCAGAACCAAAACGTTTGTGGTCTTTTCACCCAAGACCAGCCCAATTAGCTTGTGGTACTGACAGACAGCTCACATCCGGATGGCGAGGAGCATGCTGGTAGAGTAGAGGGCAAAGGAATGAAGTTGAGCTGGTCCATCATCAATTTGGAACACAGGTGATGGGCTTTTGATCACAACAGGGAAGAATGGAGGACTAAGAAAAACAACACCCCCTCAGTTAAGAAGACCAGGAACAAAAAGAAAAGGGAGCGGCAAAAAAACGATTATGCTAAGAAGCATTCAATGGCTTATCAACTGAAGGTTTAAGACTACGAATAATAAAATCGATTAAGATGATAAGAAGCCCTCAGTGGCTGATTACCTTGTCGCGCTCCTGGTACGTTCCTGGCTCCACATACACAAAGAGAGAATAATGATGATCCCGATAGCACATAAAAATGCTTAGTTTGCAGGATATTGTACCGACTGGTTTAGCTCAGTTGGTACACCCGTGAATTGTTGAAATGCAAACCTGAGTTCAAATCCTTATGGAAGTAGATGAGTTAAATTCTTGAATTTCCTGCGGTCGGTCAGTTCCCCGATGATATCTCAAAGCGGTCGCCCTGTTCGAAAATGAAGAAAAGACTAAGGAAAAAAAAGAAAAAATGGGACAGGAGGATATTATTTACTGCTTGGTTACATCTAAGGAAGTCATTGAAGACTGGGCTCCAGCAAGCGACCCTACGGTCCTACTTCTTCCTCTCCTTTCCCGAGCAACCCCTTCATCTCCTACAATGGATTAACATCCCCGTCCACTTCAGCAAGCCTGAAGGGTTGTGCTATGGAGTAGCTATGGGCCAACTGGAATGAACGATGCAGTACTCTTCTGGACAACACAAGGAGTCCACGGAAAAAGGTCTGAGCGACGTGAGGGCAATCAGACAAGCCTTCTTCTTTGTTCAGCATGCATGCAAACCGATGGCAATCCAAACTGGCGCCAGGCGCCCACACAAAACTCAGAGATATTCAAGTCGAGAACGCCATTCGGATACAAACTCGGTTCAGATTAGCTATGGCGCCTGAGCGCCTACACAGCTCCCTTCCTACACTGCATTCCACATCAACTGTTCACACGCACCCTACACTGGATCTCCCTGGATATCCCACGCACACACACAAGTCACTCACTCACAGGCTGTAGACTAACTCTAGGCTATGACGGCTATGGCCGTCGTCTACCCTGACTACTAGCAGCGATGGCAGCTCTATCTCCCTCGTACCCCACTTCAACCTCGGGCATCTGCAGACCACCTCGCACAAGACGCCTGGCAGCGCTTCCGCATGGCTCACAGAGAATGAATGAATGGCTGGACGCTGCCTCTTGATTTATACTTCTGTTGGTCGCTGGTCTGCCCCTTTTCCACCGGCCCATGGTGCACACAGTCCCACATGGTACTTGCTGACTGGACAAAGTGAGACTGGGACTGGGTACCGCTGACTAAGCAAAGTTGGACTACCCACTTGCCCCCTTGCCTCTGGCCTAACGTGAGCGACACTCGAAAGGCCACTTCCGGACTTTCCGGAAGTCTGTGGACTTGGCCTTTTGGAGCTGTAGCAGCTACGACCTTGACCTTTCCGGACTGTAGCAGCTACGACCTTGACCTTTCAGAGTTCCAACAGCTATGACCTCTACACAGCTATGACCCCTAATCGACAGACCTACGGTTCAAGACCCGACACCTACACAGACCTATGACAGACAACAGTCAGCTATCAAAACACAGGTCACGGGTTCAAAACACACAATGGTCGACTTGATACTGTACACGGGTGAGGAAGGTCTAGGGATCGAGCCCTGGGATCTGCATCTGTTACTGCAAAGGTGAAAACCGTTTCATGAGCGTCAACAAAAAGAAAAGACTTCATTGAAGCAGAAGTCAGGTGCATGGAGACAGAAGCAGAACTTCACCCACAGGAACCCTGACGAGCTGCTCGTATTTATCTCCGCTAGAACCCCCATACCTGGCGCCGCAGTGACTCGTCGCCAAACTCACCTGACTCCCAGCGCCACCGCAGAGAATGAAGGCAAACTTCTTGTGCAATTGGTTGCTAATCAGATGGAAGAACTGGCACAGTCCAGCAAGCTCTTGCAAAAGGTCGACGGGCCAGCCGCGGACAAATCAGAACCCTACATGCACATAGTTTCAAAGGGAACACGCTGGTTCCTTCAACGTCGTTGGTTTCAAGCTTAAGGTGACAGCCTTAAGAAACGGAGACTCGGAGGAATCAGGAATTGAAGGAGAAAAGGGAAAGATGACAGTCAATCCTCCTTGACAAGGAGTAATCAATGCTGGTCACGGGTCCTTGCCTAAAGGGAAGAAAGTGTGAGTGTGTCGGACCACTCCGCGGGGATACAGGCTCGGAGGTCTCCAAGAACTGTTTGTGTCCGGCCACTCCGCGGGGATACAGGCTCGGAGGTCTCCAAGACTAGGCAGTCACGTAGATCAGGCGCCCGGCAGCAGGGCTGAAGAGGTTCTTCCTCCTCTCTTGGATATTATTTTGCCTGCTTCGTTAATCCCCTATTCTCAGGGCAATCAATGCTGGCAGGCAGTCGGTGTGATCATCTGTTGAGGTGGCTCATAGGGACGCTGGACCCGTTTTGCCGCAGATGTAGCTCCCCACCACTAGATCGGAGCGACCAGGCAACCTGCGAGAAGGGGGTGCTCTTATCACCCCTTCTAGCGGCGAGACTTAGTTTTCAAGGAAAAAAACAAACAAACAACGTATGTTGTGCAAGTCAGTGGGGGAGATGGACTCTTTGCCAAAATGGGTCAGGAGCCAGGCCCGTAAGCACCGTCTCCCCCGCCCCCCAAATGAATGCAGGTTGTCTTCTCCTCATCGAGGGACAGCCGCATTTACTGATATATTTTCTTCTCTCGTCATATTTTAAACTTACACTACCTAATATAGACTCGGCCAACGAGACACTCGTGTTATGGGTCTACCAGACACTACCTACTTTGCAGAACCACCTCTACTCTATGTGGAGAGCAGTATCCTAGCTGCTAACACCTGGGGCCAGCTGGAAAGTGCCTAAATTGCTTCCACAACCACCCAGGAGGCCCAAGCCAACCATCTCCGCTGGTGAACCCGAAGCATAAGGCCCGTAAGCACCTGCTTTTTTTTTCCGAATAAAGAGATGCAAGCAGTCATCTGGATTGCCCAACCCAAGAGAGCAGAGAGATGAAAGGGAATTCGTTATTGTGAAGCATGGCAGGGTTGCATACCCGCCGACCGCCGACTGCCTACCCCGACCGCCGACCGTATTGCAGCTGGCCAGTGGGCCGACCGGTCGGCGATCTGCCGACCAGTCAGAAAACAGACATCCACTTTTTTTTTTTCAAATCTGAGTTGGGGGCTGTATTGCACTTGCTCAATACCTGTCTCTTATACACATCTAGATGTGTATAAGAGACAGCCCCTGACCGGTAGGTGCTGACCAGCCAACCGGTCGGCTGGTCGGCATCCGACCAGTCAAGGGCCGCCGACCGTTGGGGTATGCAACACTGAAGCATGTGAAATGAACCCGGTCTTGGTGAGAAATTTTCATAAGAGTCGTAACAAAATCATGAAAGTTTCACTCATGCGCTAACATGTGGCCTCCCTCAGATGTAGACAAGTCCAAACCAACTCAATTGCACTTGACAGAAACAGCGAGTCAACAGAAGAAGACAAGAGAGAAAGGGAAATAGAGTGAGAAAGAAAGAGAGAAGAGTTTCACTAATATTCAATAATACAAGTATGTCGGCTTTCCACTCCCTCTTCTCCTTCAGGCTTCCCTCCTCCAACTCGCCACCCCAGCAATGCATGCCACTCTCTGAAAGTCGCTGATGAAGTCTCTGTTTAGGTACCAGATATGCCGCCCAACCTCCAACAACAGTCCTGGCTATGGAGGTTGGCGCTGATGTTCCACAGCCTCTTGATGACCAACAGGAGCTTCCATGTCACCACCACCCAGGTAAGTTCAGGTAAGCTTCCCACTTGCTTTCTCTGATCACACACATCCACACACATCCACACACACACTCACAGTCCTGATCACCCTTTCTCACGTAATCACCTCCTAGTAGCTATAGCGGCAGAGCCTGCCCCCTGGCTGTGGCCAGCTCCGCCCAACATCCTCCTGGCTAGCGCTCACTTCTCCTGTCTGACACCAGCCTTACCTCCTTTCTACCTCGCGAACAGCAGTCTGGCCGCTGGAAAGTGCAAGGCAGATTGATGTCCCCAGGGTCTGGCCGTCTTCATGTAGTCTTGACCGTCGTTGACCTGCCTCCTCTTGGTCCCTTCAACAGCCCAGATTTTCCAGACTTCGACAGCCTGGATGTACTGCTGATCTCAATATGCCTTGTCCCAGTTGGGACCCAAGTTTTCCGGAAGACCTGCAGACAGTCTTTGATTCTGCATCTGATCTATGGCCGTGGTTGACTTCTGGGAAGACTTTGAGTACTGGTCTGCTCTACCCAGGTTGGGATTGACTCTTGAATTTCCGAGAGTCAAATGTCTCACATAGGGGCTCAGGTCACTTCTTTCGACTTAGGGCCCTTACCCCTTGACCCTGAGACTTTTCTCAGACAGTTCTGAGACTGGGGACACAACTTTTGACCCCTAAATCTTGACTTTGACCAAAAGTTACGACCCTGGCTTTGACTCTGCGAGAAGGTACCAAAGGTTCCCGCCATAGTTGCAATGCACCTTGGTGCGCGGATTTGCGCACCACACCGAAAAAAATAAGGTCTGGAAAAAAGGAAAAAAAAGTAGGGGTTTCATAATTTCTTAGCCCCCCCCCAAAAAAAAAAAAACCTGGCAAAAGTGTTCAACTCACTGTGCGAGTTCGGAAACCGGCCACTCCCCGTGCCCGGATTTTTTTTTTTTGGCAAGGGCTGCCGAATTTTGAACTCCGCAGCCCCGTCCCCTAAAAAATCCGAAATGGCGGTTCATGAAAATACTAAAATAGGGCTCATTCCAGTTTTTTTTTTAGGCGGGGTGTGGAAACTGGCCTTTCCCCTCCCTTCTGCAAATCCCACACAGTGGTGGAAAAAATTCGCGAGAAGGGTGTAGTTTCCCAATAGCGGCCTGGCCCACAGTGCTTCGCAGAAGTCACGAGATATGTTTTGCAAGGCCAGGCGACCACCAATATATGCTGAAGATTGGCATTCAGGTCTGCATGTCGGCAGTTATGGGTTAGGATGAAGATGCCTGTAGCTCTCTCGTTTTTTCTTGTTGTTTTCTTATGAATACAAACGGTGGCCCAAGGGGCCTCGTTCCACTACTCACCACATGCACAAAAGACATATCATATGGCGGTGTATGGTTCCATGTTTTAGCAGAAGACTCATTCTAATGTTATACATTTGGTGAGTGGTGGAGCGAGGCCCTGAGAATCACGTGGAGACATGAACAGGGTCTAGCTGAATCGGTGACCCATAACTGCCGAACTACAGACCTGAACTTGAACCCACAACATATATTGGTGGTCTGCTCCCACCTCTTCCACATATGACGCAGTCATCCTGCTCGTTGAAGGAGGTCCTCGATGACTCCACAATATCCACATACATTGTAGGAGGCTAGGAGCCATTCAAGTTAACCTGCAGGGGCCCTTGAATTGACGTGAAGGGGGCCCTTTTGTTAGGACCCGCCAAACACGGACTGCGACACACAGCTGATTTCTGAGTTTTGCCAATGGAATGTATGCCTTGCTGAGTTTCCTGCTTGTTGCTGAGTTGTGTGTGCGTGCTTGTTGGTCTACACGCCTGTCTGAGTGCTTGACGGTATGAGTGCGTGTGTGACCCGCGAGGGTACTTGTCTGTGTGGAAGGCCCAAAGGGCTGGTACTTACCTGTGGCCGTGGCATTGAGGGTTGCAGCGGGGAAAAAACACACAAGTGGCGGGGAAGGAGGCCCGCAACACTTGAAACAGCGAAAAAACACTCAAGTAGCAGGTAGGCCGGTACCACACCAGGTAGAGGTAGGTGTGCCGGGTACTCGAGGCCGAGTAGAAGAAGACAAAGTTGGCATTTTTAGAGGCCCAGTAGTTGTAGGTTTTAGTTCTAGGCAGGCACCAGTCCAACCAGTCTGAGTCTAGGGCCTGTACAGGCAATATCAGAGTCTGCAATGATATTTCCCTCCGAATGGGAGGAGGTACCGGTTGCTTAGAGGCCACGCGGCCTAGGAAGTCACTGGCCAAGAGGCAAGCAGGCCGCTATATCTCCAGGAGGAGCGAAGTGCTCCTCATTCTTCGGTGTGCAAGCTTGGTGATACAGTGCTTGGAGCGCTGGCTGGAGCAGTGCTGCTGGGGAGGACAGAGCGCCCAGCTCTCCACTGCGGCTATGGTGGAGGAGCACGGGCTGGAGGAGGAGGAAGACGAGGACTAGGAAGATGGAGAGCGCCAGAGGTACTTACCTGGCTATGGTGGATGTCATCTTCATCACCTTGGTGGGCGCTGCATCTGGAAGGCCCCAGTTGGAGTAGAGCTGCACCAAGAAGCGTCGAGGCAGAGTGAGGCATGGCGGCCTGAGCTAGAGCAGCCATAGCTGCTTTGTGTTGTCCTTTGCACAGCAGGGCAATGCCCTGGTAGTCTGCCATAGCCTCGGCCTTGGAGGAAGGAGGAAGAAGGGTGGCCATGGCTATGGTGGACCTCATGTGTTACCTGCAGTAGAAGAGGGATTCAGACCTTGATTCTGGTTCAGCCATTCAACATTATTATTATTATTTCTTGTTTGAATAAAAGGGGAGGAGATAAGGAGCAGGAGAGTGGTTGGTGAAGAAAAAAGGAATTCTCATTGTTCTCTGCTGGTGTATATCTTCTTCTTCTTCTTTCTTTAATCGTCTTCTTCTCCTCCTTTCCCATCCCTTTTTGTATGTGTAGGTGCTTTATATGATCGACATAAAACCCGATGTGTTAAATATTATGGAGGTTTAGTCAATACAATGCCTACCTTAGTATCTTCTCTACCATTTTCCTGTTTGTACTATAGGCAATACCATTCATTTCTTTTTGCAATTGGACGGCATTGTACTTTCTCATGAATGCGTACTTCGAAATTGGCCAGGATCATCACACTTCGATCTCTCTCTCTCTCTCGCTCTCTCTCTCTCTCTCGCGCGCGCGCGCGGAGGCACATATATATTGTCACATAACTATGAACTAAAAGAGCGCACTTTGCTTCTTGCCTGTGCATTTGCTTGTTTCCGATGGCCTGCTGGCTCAATGGAAGAGAATCCGCAAGCAGGCCCAGCAAAACCCAATGCAAGCCAAGGACCTAACGGAAAAATTTCAAAAGACGGTTTTGCTCCAAGGGAAGATAGCAAATTAGCAGGCGTGACGCTGAGTTTCCACTGCTTTGAAAGATAGACGGATCAAAAAAGAAGCAATGAGGATTTGGGGCATGGCAGAGGTATTTAACAAACATAGGTAAGATAGCAATAGCGGAAGGCTAGACATAGAGTTTTAACTTCCGAGATAGTTAAGGTAGGACAAGCTCCGAATGAGCTGGCCAAGCGCGACTTAGCGCTGCATGGGTGCATGCGCCTACGATGCTGCTAGCGCTGCATGGGTGAGTGCGCCTACGATGCTGCTATGGCAGCAAGCAAGTGGCGAGGCAAAGGCGACGTGGAAGTGGCGAGGCGCTGGCCACGGATGGACAGCGAGGTGCTGGCTGCTAGCAGGCGACGAGGCGCTGGCTTCCTATGGGTGGCGAGGCGATGGTCACAAGCGAGTAGCGGGGCGCTGACTTTTCACATGTGGCGAGGCGCTAGTGGCTTGCACGCTGCGGGTTGCTGGCTGCTTGTGGGAGATGCGAGCGCTGATGTGGCATGAGCACCCAAAAGCTGTGTGAGTGGTATACGATAGAAGTGGTGAAGTGGTCAGAGTGAGCGCTTAATGCAAGCGTGGAAACCAGAGGCACTAGGCCAAGCCACGTCACGGGCTGACGAGGCATCTGGTCTAAGTCACAGTGGCGAGGGGAGAGTAGTGGCGGTGGCGGCTGCTTGAACAGTCTCTCGGTGACTTCCACACGAAGTACTCCACAGCTAACGCCCCTTTAGGAGGCTGTAATGCTCAAGCGAGTTGGTGCAATGCCAATGTCAGTGGAAGAAAGTGGAGTTCGCCCCATGGAGACCGAAGTGCGTTAGGACTTCGCTTGTCTACGTCATCACAGCGTTGGCCCGCATTCTCAGGAGGGAGATCATCAAGGAGTCATCATCAAGGGAGCTGCTCATTTTTGTTTTTTCGATTATTTATCTTGTGCAGGTTATCCATCAAGAGCATCAAGATTATCATCATTGTCATCTCTGCGGGGAATCATCATCCGGAGTCGTTCATACTAAAGTGTATCAATTCATAATTCTTCATTACGGGTCAATGGGTCATCATCTTCACTGGCCATTATCTTCCTACTAATCATTGTCATCTTCTTTTATTATTACAACAATAGTGCTATCAATCTACCACACAAGTGCCATTAGGGTATCGCACGTTCAAACGTTCCTTATTTAGTTCTCGCCAATTTCATTTCATCATCATCATCATCATCATCATCATCATCATCATCATCATCATCATCATCGAAGTTCCTTTATTCTTTTTTTCATCAATCAGTAGATATCTCTATGTTGGTGGTTATATTCTCTTCGCCCAGATTGGTTATGGTCTAGTTGGTAGGTAGGTTGGTCAGGAAGGGAGCGCTACTCCGCAGGGGTAACACAAGGTGGGAGGTGATTGCCCTCTAGGGAGTAGACGCAGATGATGGGAGCTGACCTGGGCTGGAGCTGGGAGATATGTATGGGGGCACATTATATCCTGGCGGAGGCAGACTACGTCCGAGTGTCAGATTTGAGGTACATCTTTTGGGGGAACTGGTTACTTCAAGGCAAAAGGGAATGGGGAGGATATCTCTCTCGTTGGGGCTGATAGGAACTTCATACTGGTAGTGGGGTTCAGAACAGTGGAGGCAACGAGAGGAGAAGAGAACATGAAACGAGGGGAGAGGAGGAGAGCACATGGAGGAGGGGGAGGGGTGGAGAGGAATAGTCATCAGCATCCTCATCATTATCCACCAATTTAGTGACCATCTTAGGGTACTCATCAAATTTCATCATCAGAAAGGTTTTTTATCAGGATTCTGATATTATCAGATCCTAGATTTTTTTTAAAGAAGGACAAGCTCCGAATGGACGAAACTCAAACTCAAAGGCTTACAAATAAGAGCAAGAGTAAGGGACTGGGAACTGAATGAGAAGATGTCGAAGTATTTCTTCCAAAAAATCAAGTCTAACTCAAGGAACTCCAAAATAGAAAGCTTGGTAGATGAGCATGGCAGACCAACTACGGAAACCACACAACTAATCAACATAGCAACAAACTTCTACAAGGACCTCTACACGAGCAAAACACTGGGCGAAAGGAGCAACGAAACATTAAGAGCCAAGGATAAATTTTTATCCCACCTCGAGCGCACCTTATCCGTCGAGACAGCAAACACTCTGGACCTACCCATCTCCCTTAAGGAACTACACGAGGCTCTAAGAGACCTGAAGACCAATAAAGCGCCAGGTAGGGACGGACCATCCAAAGAATTTTGGGAGGCTAACTGACCCACACGAGGCCCCCTCCTCAAATTTCTAAATAGAGCCTGGGAACAAGAATCCATAGGGCCTGATTTGAGCGTGGGGGTAGTCACGATCTTATATAGGAAAGGAAATAAAGAGGACATAAGGAACTACAAACCCATCTCCCTCCTAAACGTGGCCTACAAGATCTTTGCCAAGCTCCTAGCTACCAGAATCAACAAGATAACAAGAAACTGCTTTCACTTAGATCAGACAGGCTTTATCTCAAGCCGACTCATACTAGACAACGTGATCACCCTATACGAGTCGACCAGAATCATCAGCCAAAACAAGATTGCAGCGGCCATCCTATTCTTCGACTTCGAGAAAGCATACGACCAGGTTAATTGGGACTTTCTCCAAATGGGTATGGAAAAGATGGGAGTAGGCAGCGGCTTCAAATAATGGGTAAGAATCCTCTACAACGATGCCCAAGGTATAGTACAAATCAACGATTTTCTCTCTAATCCCTATAAAATGTCAAGATCGGTGAGACAAGGCGACCCCTTGGCAGCCCCTATTTTTCTCTTTGTCATGGAAACCGTCGCAGCCTTCTTGAGAAAAGACATCTCAATAGAACGCCTACAAAACATCAGAGACGAACGAGGTCAAACTCTTAACTTACCAACCACCCTCCTGTTCGCTGACGATCTAACAGTCCTAATCAGAGCCTCAAACTCCTTCCAAGCACCGACGAGGGCAATGCAAGCATTCCAATTGGCCTCGGAAATGAAAGTTAACCAGTCGAAAACGGTCGGTTGGTGGCTTACAGATTCCGCCCCCCCCCCGCCCCCCTCCTATTCGCTGACGATCTAACAGTCCTAATCAGAGCCTCAAACTCCTTCCATGCACCGACGAGGGCAATGCAAGCATTCCAATTGGCCTCGGAAATGAAAGTTAACCGGTCAAAAACGGTAGGTTGGTGGCTTACAGATTCCGCCCCCCCCCCACTAGAATTATCCCCGACCGGACTCACCCATCCGCTTCTTAGGAATTAACATCAGTTCAAAAGGCTCCCATCCAATATCAGCCCAATCCTTGATGTCATCAATGTCTAATAAAATGCACAACTGGCACATAGCATACACCTCCCTACTCGAAAGAACCTTGGCCTTGAACAACTCAATCTTGGCAATGATGTGGTACACCACCTCGATCTGGCTCCCCTCAGTGGAATTTGAGCAACACATCCGCCGCAGGGCAACAACCTTCCTATGGACAGGGAACCCTGATAAACAACATTTCATTCACAAAGTAGCATGGCAAATCGTCACGCAACCCAAAGGGAAAGGAGGACTAGGAGTCATAGACCCAGCACGTCAGATCTAAGCACTATAAATAAAATGGATCATCAGACTCACACTACAGGACAACCTTCAATGGATACCTTTGACCCTCAATCGCATTAGGGAATTGGCACCCTTCCACTCCCCTCCGAATGTGGCAGGCCTATTTTGGATCTACAATCCAAATTGGTCCCTCCCCAAAGAAAATAGTAACAGAAACCGGCGACAAGACGCAGAAGACGAAGGAAATCAAGACAACACAAAATCCTTTTGGTAACAACTCATAATCCAATGGAGAAAAATCTTTCCAAAAAACAAAGTGGGCCCCAAAAGAAGGGATGAAGTCCTCAGACAACCTATTTTCGGCAACTCATGGATCGTGGACGAGAACGGTCACAGCATCCATCTCACCGAAACTAACACCAAATGAGGAAATTGTTTAGAAAAAGGGGTGTGGCAGATCCAACACCTATGGAACGAAGACACAAAGACCTGGAAATCCGAAAAGGAACTAAGGACAGCCCTGAAAGGCAGCCACAATCTACAAATCAACATCGCGACTATCGTCGAAAGTATCC